TTTGAACCTTGACAAATAATTCAGCATTTTGGCCGTAGTTGTTAAAAACACTGTAGTTTTTATTTGAAAATCCAAATAAAATAGATGAGAGATTGTTTTTTATTACAAAAAAATCCTATTTAACTGAATATTTTGAAAAATTTGTTATCCTTTAGTTGTATTAACAACATAGTAATAGACTGAAATGAGTTAATATCAATTTCAACTATGTAGAATAGTATCAACTATGTGTAATAACATTGTGTGGAGTGCTTTTACAACACTAAAATTATCTATTTTAACATAGTTAATACAATTATGTTGCAATGTTAAAGTTAACCATATCATGAATCCACTACCAACAATAATAATAATGAATTCAACTATTCTTTATAAATAATAAAAAAATTATTTATATCGGGTCATGTGAGAGCATCAATTACAAAGATGTAATTTGAAAAGTAGGGTGCATTTGAAATTCCATAAAATTATGGAAGACTGTGAAACCTCCAATATTTTGTCATAAAGTAGCTTGATCTGAATTTTGAACCCATGGCTAATTCCATAATTTTATTAAACTAGAGTTATTCTAATGGAATGTTCATCAAAGTTATTCCAAGTATGTATCAATGGAAAATTGAATTGATTGACGAGAGAAATGGAATAAGATTTTTAATTGAAATTCAATTACTCGGTAGACTGTTCAAAGAAATAATCTATAACTGAATGCGCACTAGAAATTCAAGTGGAATCTACATTATATTCACTTATACAGATCATTCTTCTATGATGTTGAATTTTAATATTATCAAAACAACCATTTTGATCAATATGTGTATCATAGAGACTTTCATAAATTTCGATATAAAACTAATCTCTCCGAAAACAAATACTTTCAAACTTTTCACCAATTTTTTACTCGCCAATTTATTAAAGATTCTTCAACATTCTTGTTGCTTTCGACGTTGTATTTAAGATAAAAAAAATATAGCATTTATATATATATATATATACAAGAGCTGGAAAAGTCAAGTGAGATCAATGGTGTGCGTGGGTGAGCCTGCGCGAAAAGTTGCGACCAACAATAAACCGTCTGTTCCGATCTATTAATAGAAGAATTGATTGATGAATTGTATTTGCTTTTAGATGCCAGAAGTTAGCAACATTCATATATGATTATAAATGCGAAGATAAATTTTTTTTATCAGCATTTAAGGCAATATAGCAGCTTCCAAGAATCATCTTTTTATCTTTCAACTACTTCCAAATGTACTACAGCTTTCAAAACTTTCAACTCTCGTATAATAAGCATAAAAATTAATATTATCATTAAAATGAAAATTATCACGAAAATCTATCGTAGTGAGGATTATTATAAATATTCAAAATACTAACGAACAAGAAAAAGAGAGAGAGAGAGAGAAGTGAAATATGTGCAAAAGAGGACTGCCTTAACGAAGTGCAATTTAATCCACCTTGACGTAGCAGACACGTTATCAAGCGAAGAGTAAGTATGCTTTTTTCTTCAATACCATCTTACATTATACTTTTCTGTTATTATCTAACGTAGTGACTAATATATAAATTAATTAAACTTCATATAGAAACGAATAAAGTGACGTTAGTTTTTAATATAATATTACATTAAAAGTTGATGATTTAAAAAATATATTATTAAAAATGGTACCTTTTTATTATTTAACTATGTAATTAACAAAATAGAACAAATCAGCAAGATAAATAATACTCCAAATGGCTGACATATAATGCTGAAGTAGGTTGAGAATTTACCCATCATTATAGTTGAATTTATACGGTAAAGTTCATGTCAGAGGCAATTTTAATATAATTTTCTCCTCATGAAAAATGTAGTAGTAATTTTAGATTTAATGAGAAGTGAGCTAAAAATCAAATAATCATTTGTGAAAATACTTTTTGGATAAAAATTATTTGAAGATTTAAGTCAAATGGTATAATTTTTCTAAAATTTAACAGATCAACATGAAATATATAGATATATATATATATATATATATAAATATAACTGACAATTTGATGACCAATGGTTTGAATGGGAACTAACGATAGAGAAGATCGAAAGAGAAACAATAGACTGGTTAGGTGGTTCATGATGAGCAGAAACCAAGCGTAGTAGGAGAAAGCATAGAGGACCGATAAAACAAACTCGACAAACGTTTCGACTAACATGGATGGCTATCCGTAATTTGATTGTTGCTCGAGCAAATTTTGCGGTCGTTTTGAATGTCATTGTAGCCTTGGTGTATGTCCACCGGTGAATTTCTGCTGTTGTTGCAAAAACATTTATAAATCAATTTTCAGTTGACTAAAAAATAATTCCGTCATATGAAACTTTATAGATATCTGATAGATTTTGAATAACACGGAAATTCGAGTAATCGAAATCATATAGAGCAGCAACACCACTTTTCCACATGCCTATACATCAAGTATATACCTTATACCCATGTATATGTGGCTATGTGAGGAATGAAACAAGAGAATAAATACAATGTAACTCAAGGACATATATTTAGAGAGAAAAATAAAAGGAAGACAGACTATGTACGTATGTATATGTGTGTGTATTTCCGGATGAGCGTGAGGGAAAGGAGGAAACACAGGTGCATCTTTTACGTCGCTCACATTGTGGTCTATTGTACACCATTGCCATTGTTTTATCGCATTCCATTAGTTATACATATAGTAGTGCTATAGGTATGAAAGGGACACAAGGAGTGAATGGTGTTTCTAGGAAAATAAACTACACCGATACAAGAAAAATAAAAGTATATATCTATATGTAAAGCCAGTGAAGAGTAGGTGAGCTTAAAGTAGTTGATAGTTTCATGAAATCCTACCTGATTCAAATGAACATTCGCCAAAAAAAAGCTTCCTTTTCATTCATTAGTCAACCCATTTCATTCAATGATAATTAATTAATTTATTAGTAAGGTAAATTTTTTTTTATTGATTCAAATACCATAGTATTATTTAAAAAAATCAATTTAAAAAAGGAAATAGAAAAGTTTTAATTATCTTTACAAATCACAATGAAAATGAAAGTTAGATAGTTTTTTATAATAATGTACTTTAATAGAGCTAACGGTTATTCTTGTAGACCAATTTTTTGTGCTAATTCTACAAGGATACATATTACAATAAAGGTTACGTAAGGCTCATCATCATTTAGATTATCTCATCATCAAAGCGTTTGTTTAGTAATTTACGCCTTTTGAGCAGAATAAACGTCCACACATTAACAATTTGATGCTTTGGCGTGAGAAATAGTTGAACAATTTAAGGACATAGATAATTGCAAGTGAATAAAAACGTGTTTGAAAGAAAATCGAAAAATTACGTTTGTCTTTCAACGAGATAATTTACAGTATAGCATTGAAGTGAGTATATAGAAATAGAAATGGTATAGTGTTGAGTATAGATCTGACACGGTATGGATTAAATCTGGAAAATTGCATATGGAATTGCACAAGAGTGCTATCATCTCACTTGTTTTTTTTTTTATTCTTTGTTATTCGAAATTTGCAGTAGATGCATCTGTATATATATATATATATATAGATAGATCTACTGTATCACTGTTCTATGCACATACAGAATGAAAACTTTAATTTCCACACTGGCAAATTCATGCCGACAAACCGGCCATATCGAATATACAACAAGCAATGCATATATGTACGGTATATGCACATATATGGGGCATGCATGGAGAAATCTGTGGTATGTTCAGGCAATTGGTATGTGTGCAAGTTGCATATAAATATTAAATTCCAATTCAAGTCAAGAAGACTCCTGTCGCGACACTGTAGCCAGGTATAGCAATATATTAGTGGCATATTAGTGTCTTTCTTGTCAATAAATAATAAGACCTCCGTAAAAATTCTTTAGCAGTTGATAGTCTAATCTAGGCTCTGCTAGATTGTACTGTTACTACTTAAGAGCTATGCTCTTGTAAACAAGTTAAGAATATTTTTGTTTTTCTATTATTTTTTAAAATGAATATTTTTATTATGTTATGAAAGTGTTATTTATGCATTTATAATTAATTTTTATTTCAAATCATTTCCTTTTGAAGCCTAAGAAAATAAAAAAAATGAAATTTTTATCCTGGAAAGTTTGAAGAATCAACTCACTTTAAGTGAATGGTCTTTTTCCAATATCAAATAACCCAACTATTTTAAAATTCAATATTCAAATTTTTATTTGTATTCAATGTAGAAAGTAAACATTTTTGAGTTAAAGTATTTTTTAATTTTTCAAAATTTCTATAAGCGCTAAAATTTATTTTAATATTTTAAAGCTCAATGCTTGTATTCCACGCTACGACAAGATACCGTTATAATATGAGTAAACTTTGAAATGAAAAAAAAGTTCTCAAATAAAAGAAAAAATAGTAAAAGTAGTGAGTAGATGATTGAATAAAACATCAACTATTATTGTACTCCAAAAAAATACTTTAATTTAAAGTATTATACGTATTTTCTCACTACATTAGGATATTAACTATTAATCCTATAGCCGCATTCCAAACCTTTTATTATGACGGTCACTTGTGTGTATCTTATATTATGAGGATATCCCCCCTACCCCTCTTCTGCCCCTGCTCCCTCTATGCTTACACACACACACACACACACACATTGACATTGTATCAGACCGGTTCAATGTATCCCTCATGATATATATGTATATATATATAGATGGTTATATCATCTATAATCTGCAGTGTATGCGTGCTCGATGAATGCATGCGTACGCACCCACGCACATCCCAACTCTCTCACGTACGAGTAACGTAGCGTGACTTGTTCACTGTAGACTAGACCGATATAATACGGCAGACACATTTTTAGCTACATAAATGACTAAGTCCTGATTATATATCAAAAATAATAACATACAGAGGAAAAAAATGCATTCCACGGATACATAATATTGAGCATTTAATATTATACATAAATGGAAATTATATTATTTACCTGTTGCCAGTGATCTTCTAGCGACGGTTGAGCCGAAAAATATCCGGTATCATGAATGTCCTGCAATTCTCTAAATATATTCCCACTTGGTAAGATATCCATGATTGTTCTGTTTTTTTCTTTTCTCTTGTTTTTCTCTTTCTTATTTAAGTAAGACTTTTTAAAAATTATTTATCTAAATATTGGTTTAGGTATATAAGACAATACCTAATAATAATTTGAAACACACACTATTTCGTTATCAGATTATGATAACAATATTATACTTGAATCAGCTGTATCACTTATACTTTTACTGCACGAGCAAAATACAATTTATTTCACTTACACGAGGTAGAAAATTCCTTGCAGGTAATTTAAGTGAATAAACTAAATTGAAACTGACAACCGCGATGACTGATGACTTTACACTTGTTATAAATAACAATAAAAATGATTGGTAATACTCCGCATAGGTAATGTAATGATGATTATCATCGAAACTGGTCCCTATTTACACGTGATCGATGATAGACATTTGGATTTTATTGCAAACGGCCACAGGTGAATTACTTTATCAAGTATTTAAACTTGAGATAATAATTATTGCAGCGTTATAAATGGAAAGAAAAATAATTTGTTTATCTTTGACTCTTTTTTGACTTGATGCAGAGCATAATACCACACACATTTAACACAATCAACACAACACACTTGTCAGATGTAGAATATAAATATAATTATTTGATTGAATAATCACAATAAATCAGAGTCGATGAACGATGGCAAAATAGTATCCACAGTGTAGTTTTGTCTGTCTAATGTAGCGACGCATATGCGCGCAATACTCAACAGTAGCAGCATCCATCATATTACACACGTTTCAATTTTTATCAATCCAGTCTAAATATTCCACATAATGAATGAATTGTTGACGTATTATTGTTTACTATTTACTGTTAGTACTACCACGTGAAACAAATGCCAAATTCAATCAACTTCAGCTTACTCACTGTATTCATGAAATATAGATATACATATATATATAAATATATGTATATATATTTATATGTATCACTAAAATGCTCTCGGCATTAATAATAAAATTAGATATATACAAATAATACCAAAGCTTATCTTAAATTACTCAAATAAATGATTTTCTCAATTCCAAATACTGTTAATACACAGTATCAATCAGTTTAACTCATTCAATTTACTCAAATTCTTCATAAAAATAAATTCTCTTATCACTCTCTGGTACTGCAGGTATTACTTAAATATTTTCTAGAAAATAAATAGCTGTAACAGTATCTGCAGCTTAAATATAATATTTCACTTCTTTCAATATGTATCATCACCAAAAAAATCGAGTGGTTTCTTACATCAACACGACTATATCAACTGTTAAATTCATTCAATTCACTTGTCAATAACACTAACAACTCTACTGTGACTCGATTAATTATTAGTATTCTTTGGATAGACGAGCAAACAATCAGAAGGATAAAATGTGTGTGAATGTCGTGTAAAAAGTATACGACTAATGGTGATCCTCTAACAAATTTCATTTACAAACTTCCCTGCCCGAGCACCGAACAGTGACTGACGTTCCAAGTGACGATATGGCGCTTCGTGGAAACCGACTATTCCCGACAACACCCGATCTATCTATTCTACATCGTTTGCTGGCGTCGCCGGCGCATTCACGTTATTCCGCTATACTCCTATAGCTGTTATGCCAGCCACTGCCAGCCACTACACTACTAGCAGTCTCTGCCTACCTCCACACTATTTTTTAGTCACTATACCTCACTGTATGTACACTGTCACACGGTTATTCTTAACTATACTAATATTACGGTACACTACGGTACACGTATAGTAGGACTAGTAGGGCTCAATGTGGCCTATTCATTCTTCATTGTCACCATAATTACCATCGATATGTTAACGATGTACACAATATTTTCAATGTCGCAATCACCACTATGGAATGTCCATTTTCTAAACAATTCCCACCTTATAATCATCATATTTTGTACTAAACTATGTACATTAAATATTCATTAAGGTATCTTGTTCACTGTGACTAATCCAACTGCCTTCATATGTTATTTTCATTTTAGATTTATCAGTTAATAAATTAATAGCCATATGGACATCATACTTTCACTTTGACAATTTTTTTTAATTACATTTTACAGACTTTTTTCATATGTCATGCAATTTCTACTTGGATAGGTCCGCAAAGAAGATTATTTATTAATTAAAAAATTTTTTAATGACAGCGTAAACATTTTGTTGATGTAACACAATCAATCGATGGTTGTTTTAATTATAAAAAAAGTTAAAGATAATTGAGGAATTCGATTTTAAATGGTTACTTGACTAGTTACTGTTTTAATGTGAACTGATCAATAGATAGGTCTATTCAAGGCTAAAGATCAATATCAAAGAAAATTTTTGGATACAATAAAATCAACAGGCATTAAAAGAATTTCCTTTTCCTTAAGGGAAAAATGTTTTTCCTTTTAAAAATAAAATCGTTTAAATTTCACTTTTGTTATTGCCTTTACAGTTAGTTTACCTTCAGGACATTTTGTCCGTCAATAATTTTCTTTTTTGTGTCGATGATGACGCTTATATTAGTCCATTATTTTTATCAACCGTTAGATTATGTTGAATGCATCATATCGTATTTTAGAGACTCTAAAATTGCATTATCCAGTCATTTGATTCTAATTAAAAGATCGATAATTCCCTCCTACATTTGACCGGGCTTTATAATTCATGTGCTTATCTTTGACATATGCACAGAATTACGAAATTGATTTAATCTTTTTTTTTATTTATCTTATTCATCATTATAAAAATAACTCATGCAATCAAATTATTTTGATAACGCGTAATAATATTTATTTAAATAAAATGTATTTGTTCTGTTTTATTTTTAAAATTGATATTAACGTTATTTTAACATTAATTAATAATATTTTACATTTACCTTGTATTTTTAATCAAAAAACTCACATCCATTGGTATGTATTTCTAGCGTAGCGAACTGATTCATACTTAGTATGGATACAAGCTAAAATAAAACCCCACGTGCAGTTATGATAATCAAACATTTACCGCTTCAGATGGATGATTAAACAAAACAATACAGATGTTAATAAATTAATGCAACCATATCTAGAGGTAAAGTTTTTTTATTGACATATATTCAAACTTTACTTTCTCAAGAATATAAATAATGGAATAAAGAAAAACAAAATGGGATAGTTTTAAAAGATTTTACTTGTTAAACATATATTATATTGCTATTCAATAAATTTATTTCTTCGCGAAATTATTGAGAGGCTAAAAGAATTTAATTGATTTGAAATTTTATTGAATAGTCACATAACTCTAACCCTTTGAGAAAAAAAACGTAAAATATATCTTATTTCAATTTTATCTGTCATTATGTCGGTGAAATCGGGTAATTTATAGCAGTACAGTGATTCAACGTTTAATTTTATCGCTATTGTAGTAACTATTTAGCCAATGTACATTAAAAAACAATATTGTTAAGAAAACTAAAAAACATAGTTATAAATTTTTTCAAGTACGACATATGTTATTGACTTTTTTGAAAAATATTGTTTTTGCTTAGTTTATATCCAATATAATCTAAGGTAACGATAGAAAAAAACATAATTTACTGAGAAATTTTTAATAGTATTCCACATCTTCATATGTTCCTCGTTCATTTAACTTTTGTAAGTATTGCAACTGGATTAGAATGCCTGGCGCCATAAATATTACCCTTTCTGCCTTCATTCTTGTGTTCAAATGCATTTGGAACAATGCCGAGCTTGCTCGAAAACTGTACGTGTTTTCAATTTCCATTCTCTACTTTTTTTCTGTGCTTTATTTTGTTGTTTTTTTTCCTCCTTTGAGAGTTCGACAATGAACGCAAGCTCAATCTACGAATAAGCAGAACATGCTGAAGAAATTTGAGCCAAATATACCTCTCTAGAAACATTGCGTTGAAATATGTATTGAAATTCATTTCAAAAAAATACTAATGCTGTACTATGCAAAAATACGTCGTATAATTTTGGAACGAACCACCGAAAAAGAGTCAAAGGAAGCAGCCTATAAAAAAAGTTTCACATATTTATTATCGTTACAAAGATATACAGATGCATTAATAGTTGAAAATTTCACCAGGAGATTATCGTTACTATTTCTACACTAAATTGCGATTCTTATCTCAAAAATGGCCTTTTTATTACTTTTTTAAAATCATTATTACATAATTCGAGTGTTAGGATTGAACAATTTATTTAAAGTAATTATTAATTATCATGAATATTGTAAAAGAATTTGTTGAAGCTAAATTTTTTGCTGTAAAAAATAAATCTTGTATATAATAAAGAAAAAAAGGATGACATTTTATCCTCTGATGGAATTCACCATTCGACAGACATCAATTGATTCAAGTTAACTGTCATCAATTGTATAGTCATTCCTTGAACGTTTATTTATAGCACAATAATGTTTAAAATTTCTTCAAGAATCATCAAAGTCCGTGGCACCTGAATTGCGAAAACCATTTCAATGTTTACAGTTTAGAGAATTAGAAAATGTTTTGCTGAAAATAACATAATAGTTTATATTCATGGCTGTTAGAGGAATTGTTATGTAAATGATATTTCTTCAGGTTATTTTTAAAAACTTTACATAAATTGTTTTTACATTTACTAACAACAAGAGTAAAAATTTAAAAAACAATTATCGGCCATGTAAAACAGAAAAAAAGACAAATTTAATTCACAATCTGAGATTAATAATTCATTATATTTGATTTTATAAAGTCAATAGTTTCTAGATAATAATTTTCAAAAAAATCCTTTGTGGAAAATTCCATCGTTGTGTAGTCTAATATTGACACAGAGAAAAAGGACTCTTGAGGTAGAGTTTCAAGTCAAAGAAGGACATGCCATAGGATGACGTTGAAAAAGACTAAATTACTCATTTATTTTTTTTTCCTTGAATGAAATACTTTTACATTAAATTTCAAAATTGTTGTCAGATCATTTAATTTCTTCTTATCATTACTATCTAATATCGATTTGGTAAAGCAAATAATTATTTAAAAATTAATTTTCAAAAAGGAATTATTTTGAATTTGATAAAACAATATTTTTCAAAATCTAATCATTTTTTTAAAATTCATTTCCAATTTGCTAAAATAAAAATAAATACTTAAAACCTTGATTTTTCATCTCAGAATATGATAACTGCTAAAAGGATCCTAATAAAAATATTAACAGTAATAACATATTATTACAGTGTTCATTAGTAACAACATGGAATGGAAAATATTTATTTAACATCAAACTGAACGTGTGTGAACGAGAATTTTACGACAACAAGAAATGTATAGTTTAACTGACGTAATTTCGGTTGCATAATGCCATAGCAATGGGCTGACACGCTGGCACATTAGTTGTGCCTGCGCGTGTGAACCATTCGTGTCAACTATTATTCTACCAACGACCCAGCTAGCAGAGCTCCATCATCAAGTATACACGACAACGCACATTCTATGCTCTTCGTAATACACATAACAACACATGACAACACAACTGAGCTCGGCTGCTTGCTGTTGCTGATGTTGCTGGTGTTGTGTCGTGGTGGCGGTGTATACTGGCATCCTTGAGGCCACAGGAATTTGTGGGACGAGGTCGGAGGAGTCGACTTTACGCGTCTATTTTCATTATCCATGAATGATACATGGAAAAGTTCGCTCTGAACCTTGGTGAAAATTTACAAAATAATGTTACAGTGAAGAAAACAACGAAAAATATGATGGTCGATGCGTATCTTAGAAAATGGAAGAAAATGAGGCAAACAAGTACATGAAAAGTCTGTTATCAAGAGAAATTATTATATCTTGTAGGATAAGAATTATTTATTCAATGATTAAATTTCTAGAATGATCTAAATTTCATGAGCTTTTCCAAGAATCGTTATTTCGAATGAGCCAAAAACTTTAGTGCAAAATGGCTTAATCTCATATAATCCGATCATGTCGTTACATACGGCCGTGTTAAGCACACTCATAAAATCGAGTTTCTGTACTTTCTATATGTACAGGTATCTGTGAAACGAATCATTCGATGCACTGTGAAAAAATCTATATTCCTTCTATGCATACTAAAAATGTCGTTGAACATAAAATGGAGATTTTACGATTTCTTCATGTAATTCTTCAAAAGTAATGTCTACTTTATTTTTACGTTTTATAATAATTAATGGCCTTTCAACATTGTCTATGAAAAATTATACAGGAAATCATTTTGAACGGATGTAACGGTTTTGATAGGAGGATTCCCAGAGTTTTAAATGCACCTGTCGTGTGTGAGTAATTTTTTGACGCAGCCCCGTAAAACTTTATTTGATTTTCCCGTCACTTTTTCCTCGATAAATGAAGCGAAGACCTAAATAGTTCGTCAAACTGGATTTTGATCTTGATTAGATAAATTTCGAGTAATATTTATTTAGCGGACATATTAAAGGGTAGTTTTACTTTGATATTCGATTTTTTCTATTTTTTTTTCCAATAACAATTCAATATTTATTCTGAAAAAATATCGTTTATTCAATAAACTAACAGTTAATTAAAAGGAGTAAATTTTATTCAAGATACGTGAAAATAGTAGATTAATAACAAATTAGTTT